TGTCCGGCACTATCTGCATTCCCACCTGTTCAGCTGTCAGAGGTCTCCTCTCCGCTCCCCTCCTCCACTCCCCCTCCTCATGTCACTCATGGACCACACCCCACAGTAAAGCTCTGTGAGCTGTGAATGTGTGCATGTTCTGTGTGGAATGCCACATGGTTCTCAGGTTCCACCCGCTTCAACTGTACTGAGACAAAAACATGTGCTGAAGACACGTGTGTGTGTGTGTGCGCACACATATGTGTATGAAGTGTGAAGATGCGACTGTGCTGCGTTAGGAGATCCTGAAGTGTTTTGACAGTGAGGTATTTTTGTTTTGACTCTGTTGGACATTGATATTTATTAGAAAAACATATTTGGCATCTAGAATTTTACGTCATGGTTGTAGTTGCTGACACTGTATGTTGTGTATATATGATACCATGTGCCACCAGATGATATAATTTAAATTTCTGCTGCTTATATTGATTATGTGGAAACCCTTTTTAAAAACTAACATTTTAAATATGTTTAATTAAGAGTAAACAAACATAAACTCAGACAGAAATATGTCACTGTCCTCTGGTCTTCATTTGTGACTGATGGAGACATTAAGACCCACAAGGGATCCAATGCAGTTCAGTTAACTCTTAGACTAAATAGTTTTTCAGATCCATTCAGTTTATTTTAATATTTATTTAAACTAAATTAGGACTTGTCAAATGAAATTGAAGCGTTTGTTTTATTTGCTGATTCGATATCTAAGTCATTCATAGTTAAAAGGTTTTAATGGGGTTATAGTGGGAGACTGGAACATGGTCTTTATTGAGCACAGCTTTGAGTTGGGGAAAGGCTTCAGAGCATGTGCAGCACATATGTGCTGACTCATGAGTAAATACACAATGTCGTTTAAGATTCCATCTCCCAGCATTTCTTAAAAAGCAAACAAAAAAAACAACAACAATAACTTCTGATGATGTGGGGGAAAGTGTTAAGCTTGTTTGCTAACTCAGGCTGGGTGGAAATTGAGTTCTGAACAGGAGCTCAGCCAGACGCCTCTGTTGGTAGACTGCATTTGATCCCCAGCTTCTGTGCATTTTCATACTTTGTTGTTTGTGTTGTGTAACGTCCCCTGTTTCTTCACAGTTCAGTCAAGATGATTACAGAGACTCTGCCTATAGCAGTTTGCCAGGAGAGGTGGACACTGATGTAAGTTTGTTGAAACTCTGACACAACCCAGCGCTTCAATTCAATGTCTGTAATTGGTCACAGCTCTTTTCTCTTTTGCTCTCTGTTTAGACCAAACTAAGCAGGTTGTGTGAACAGGATAAAGTGGTGAGAACACAGAAGGAAAAACTTCAGCAGCTCTACAGAGAGAAGGTGACAGAAAACTGACATTCCTATCGTTGTGTCACAGGTTGAGAATGAGAAAACTAAATGCTGTACCAAAATTAGGTTTGGAGGCACGGCATTTAGAAAAAGTTAAAGGCCCTGGATTTCATTTACAAAAGAAATAAACAGGCTTTCCATATGGATCATATAGTCATATTTCCAAAAAGGGAAATGTAAACAATTAGGTTTTTTTTATCCATCTTGGACATGATGATCAGATATCAATTAGTCACTGGTTCTGGTTGGAAAAAAAAAAATCAACGTCTCAATTGGCTTAATTCGACTGATCTGAGAAGGAACATTAACAAATGACATGCTCATGCTGCTTGTCCCTTCGATGTGTTCCATGTCCCTTCAGCACACCCTGGAGACAGCACTGCTGTCGGCCAGCCAGGAGATAGAGATGGGCTCTGATAACCCGGCTGCCATGCAGAGCGTCATCCAGCAGAGAGACTTGCTGCAGAGCGGCCTGCTCAGCACCTGCAGGGAGCTTTCCAGAGTCACTGCTGTGAGTCATATCATACACTCCCTTCCACAAGCTCTGTATTTTTTAAGGGACTGCTGTTATGAAGGATTTTTATCACCCACAAAGTATATATCTCTTAAACCAGGAGTTTGAGCGTTCTTCAAGGGAGTACGACAAGTTGGAAGGAGATGTGATTCAGTCTAAGAACAACCTGCTGGAGCAGTTAGAAGAGCTGGGAAACCCTCAGGTAGGACACCACCTGAGACAGAGGCTGTTCTGCAGTGGGAACGATTCTTCAGAACACAGAGTTAGTGTTTGAGTCCGCCCCCAGTTCAGTCAAAACTTCCACAGTGCCTCAAAGAAACCTGGAAATTCAATTTGCTCAAGAAATGAAGTGATTGTAGCACTGATAGAGTCGGCTGTAATTACATTTGTGTCATCCGATCCTTCATTATGTGAGTGGTTAAAAGATGGGTGGAGTCATAATTTACAGTTACTCCTGCTCAGCAGGAGCCAATATCTAATAAGAGGACGTGAATTTAAAGGACACATGTATTTAAGTTGGGGACACAGTCGTCTCCAACTCCTTTATCGCATTTTTGTTGCTCTTCAGTTCTGCCTGGTACCATTTTCTCCGCCCTGCACTGTGCTGATGTGGTGCTGAGGCTGATGAATGCTCCTCACAGACTGGAGGAGATTATTATTTCAACAAAGTACACACCTCAGCAGGATCATAATCTCCTCATAATATCTCTCAACCTCACCTTTGACATTCCTTGTACGTCTTTCTCTGGCTTTTACATGCTAATTGTACACGGTGGGACCCAGTACATGGTCAGACGGCAGGCTGTGCTATATATACAGGAAGAAAATATCTCTCTGATTGCAAACACAAAATCTTTGAAGTAGATCTCTATCTATTTTGCTTCCCTGGACAGGTCTGAGATAAGACGGCCCAATAACATTGTCCTCAGGCCATTAGACAGGCTGGAGAGTAAGCAGGATCTATAGGTGCTGCTCACTGCTCTGCCCACAGTGATATTTATTGCTCAATAACATACTGGATCTTTTCCGTGTGTGTCTGGAAACTTCCAGACCCACGGCTACTTAAGGTGCTCAAAGACTGCCATTTTGGATTTTGACTAAGGTTATGAAGGTTAAGAAACTCTGCTGCATGGACTTTAAGTAAGTGCTGTTTAAGCTATGCTTCTATGAGAGTATTCAGACTCAAATTCAAAATCTAAATTCACAGAAATAGAATGTGTTTAACTAAGTGTAGTCATCAATTATCTTTATTTTAGCAGGACCTCATGCTCATCTTTTTACACAAAACTTTGTAATGTTGAATGCGAGCGAGACCTGCATCTTGACAAGTCAAGGAGCACAGATGGCTGGGATAAAAGGAATTTGTTAATCTCTCTGATTGTCAATCAGTTTAGATTAGATTAGACCAGATAAGATTAACCTGTATGGATCCCACATGGAAGGTTGACTTTTAATGAAATCATTGTTCTATCTATTGTTTCTGTGCCATACTGTACCTCAGTTATAGCCGTCAAGTCCCTGGCGTGTGTAAAACCTTGTGGTGTTTTGTGCTCACTCAGACGGAGCCACCCAGCCAGCAGCACGCTCGCATCCAGAAAGAACTGTGGACGATTCAGGACGTGATGGAAGCCCTGAATAAAAGCCAAGCCCAGAGAAGTGCTGTTGAGGGGACAGGATTCTATGGAACTAAGAACAGCTTCAGTAATCAGAAAAATGAGGTGAGGCCAAAAAAGGAACAAAGGTTTTGGATTTTATTGTACCTGCTGTTGATCTAACATACTACTGGGTTTTTCAGTCAAATGAGTGGACGCTTTCCCCATCAGATTTAAATGTCAAACTGCATTAACCTAATCAGATAATGTTCTCAGGTCTGATCCGGTCTTGTGTATGTCGATGAACATAACCCGAGGATTAATAATGTCAGATTAACTCATAAGGATTATGGCTGAATGACTGGATGTGTCGCTCATGCTCCAGCAGCAGCAGTGTCTGTGTGTTCCTTTCCACTGGTTTGTCCATCCTGTGAGCCAGAATTACTCAGTACCAGATGGCGGTTGCTCTGAGCTCGCGTGTCGGTGGCGACATATGTCACCTTGACTCCTCTTCAGTCATGCCCTGTATAATCCCTAGGAGGAAGATGCTGTACCCCCACGGCCACCTCTCCCCCGCTCTTATGAGCCCAACCCCTCCACTGGGCTGCCCATGCCCTCTCACACTGGAGGGCGCTCCTCATCACTCCACAGAGTGGAGGACAGGAAGTCCAATCACAGGAATGGCACTCACAGTGTAAGCCCACTTGCCTTGACCTTGTGTTTGCCTCTTGAGTTCAGCAGCGTCATCACATCATTGCTTCCTGTGGTGGTTTTCATTTTCATCTTGATAAGTTTGACAGTTTGAGTTGGATCGTCTTTTCTGTTGTTTTTCATGCTCAGCCACTGCATACTTTGAGGTATTTGGCCCCAGGTTTATTTCTTATTCTATCCCATTTGTTTTTTAATTTGTTTTTTTTATGGGAAGTAGATGTTTTGTTACACTGTGTCAGGATCTGCAAATCAAACCTGATCCAGTTTTTTTTAGTTATGTTACTTTTTTTAAAAAACTTTTTCTTTCTGTTTTTGGTCTTGAGGGTCCAGACTACAGGCTGTATAAGAGTGAACCTGAGCTAACCACAGTCACTGAGGTGGATGAAAACAACGGAGAGGACCGCTCAGAACATCCATCTGACAGAGAGCATTTAGGAAGCAAAGGTATGTTATAACCAGGAACTGTAGACTCATCAAACAACCTCATCACCACCGTTTTGAAAAAAACTCATTGTACAAGCCTATATATGTGTGTGTATATATGTGTGTATATATGTAAATATACACATACACATATATACATATATATATGTGTAGAATATATATGAAGGTATACATATGTAGCAGGACAGGCTTATTCATTAATATGAAAATGCAAGTTAAAAAATATCAATATTATGAGCTCAGAGCTATGACTCAATAATATACATGATTTGTGTTTCATAATCATTGTGTCTTAATCCAAACTACATTAGGGTACAGTATTGCGCCTGAGTGAAAATGTCAAGTAGATGTAATTACTTGACTTTATATAAGTTAACTGGTACGCCATATGCTGTGTCGTTAGATGAGTTGGAATTCTTCAAACGGCAACTAATCTGCACTTCATCAAACTGCGTGAGGTACAATGAAAGGTGCTTTAAAGGTGAATGATTGGGATGGAGCTCTACAGCTGCTTCACTCTCAGCTGGAGGGAGAAGCTGCAGTCTGCAGACCTTCCGTTTACTTTACCACAGTATGGATATATGTGGACACGTGGTCAGACTTTGTTGTTGTTGTTTAGTATTTTGTCTAAGTAGCTTCAGTGTTTCTGAACCATATGTGTTAATGATTTTTTCTTCTGTTTGCTAGGTTTATCATACCCAGTTGGTGTTGTCCCTCCTAGAACCAAATCTCCAGTGCCTGAGTCTTGCTCCATCGCTTCCTATGTTACGTTAAGGAAGACCAAGAAGCCAGAACCTTTGACGGTAAGTTCCAGGGTTTTAGACGTCGAGGCACAAATGATGAGCAACAGTTGCTTTCTTGTGGTAACATTTTAAAAACTTTCTTGGTGTCTTTGCTGCCTTTTGTTCCTTGATGCCACCCTCCATTTTTTAATATAAATTGCCTTGTTCTTTTCTTTCAGTGTAGTTTATTAGTCTTAACAAAATAGATAACATTTTTGTATTCATTCTTTTTTCCCTGCATGTTTTACAATCTCCTTTGAATTTTTTTTGAGTGCATCAGCAATATTTCAAACTCTGTTCTGTCATGTTGTGATGTCTTTAGTTGGGAATGGAAATGATATTTCACGTTTTCCCTAATTGTTGTAACATGTCAAAAACTTGGTTCACCATCCGTTGCCAAATATTGTCCTCAGTTTACCGGACAAGCTCTAACACTGTCTGTGGTGGTTATTCATCTACGTGGAATGTTTCTCTGTCTTATCAGTCACAGTGAAGTTATGATGGATGAATGATAGAAAATGATAGAAAAAACACCATCTGCTAACTTTTACTAACTTTTTGTTGTCTATAGTTGGATGACAGTGAGGTAGGAACTGGTTATTTTTTTTAGACTTGCACTTGCACAGTTGTGTAGTTATTAGGCTGCTGGTCAGATGCTAACATGTGCTGAAGAGGCACTCCACAGTGTGCCCAGGGTGTGACTCATTCCTTCAAAACCAGGCAGCCTTAAACCAGATGCTGAATTCAGTTTATATCATTTCCAGCTTCAGACGCTATCATTTCAAATATAGTGAGCCATGTTATTATTGCACCACAGAGCAGGGTGTGTCTGTGCACGAGTGTGTGTCAGTCTCTCTGTGTGCACTAAAAAAACAAACGTTCCACATACAGTACCTGTAGTGTACAGACCCACAGCTTTAGCCCCCTCTTAAATACCAACCTTTCCTTCTGGAGAGTCTGGACAATGAGGTCTCTGTTCCAGGTTCTGGACTAAATCCAAACCTGCCGTTCTCCTCACCGTGGCACAGACCTCTTCAGTTCACTTCACACGATGGGCTGCGATCATCAGCCTCACTTGTTCAGGCGTACGACGGGCCTTCAGCCTCTCTGAGAGCAGCCACTTGTGCCAACAGGACGCATGAATTGTTTGTTGTTTTGATATTTTATTTTTTCAATTTGAGACCAAGTGAATGAACATTAAAAAGCCATTTCCACACAGCTGCTGTGGTTGTTATATCAGTCATAAGTGCTGTTTCTGAGTGACTGTGTGTGTGTATGTGTGCAACAGATGGAGAAAATGTGTTTCTCATTACTTTCCTTTGTTTCACATATGCTGTTTTAAATATTAATGTAGTTTTATTTTCTTTGATTCATCTAAATGATGCTGTCGCCGCACACGTTTGCCTCCCTGACTGATCTACTAAATATATGAAAAGATTGAGGACTTTAATTTGTCACAGGCAACTATACAGATACACCATCAGTGAAATGAGTTTTGAATAAATAGTTAAAATGTATTAATTAATTTATTATTATTGTTATTAACTCTGCTTGTCTGCATCTCCCCTCCTGCCTCCAGGATCGACCACGCAGTGCGGTGGAGCAGATGTGCGCTGCAGAGTCTGGCCGACCGAGGATGAGCGTGGAGGAGCAGTTAGAGAGAATCCGTCGGCATCAGCAGGGTGCCCTTAAAGAGAAGAAGAAAGGCCTCAGTGTCCGGGACAACCTGCCCACTCGAAGTCAATCGTTTAACAGAGACACACGCAGCGTGCAGGTAATGCACCACAGACTCAGACAGACTGTGTTACTAAGGGGCAAAAATAAATAGCTGCTTATTCCCAGGCCATCATTTTCTTCTTGGTCTTTCCCAGTCCCACATGAGACGCAGAGATGAGGTGATGAGCAGTGACATCCAGGCGCTGGAGGCCTCTCTGAGACGGCAGGACTTGGTGAGGGAGCAGGAGACACCGGCTGAGGAGATTGCACGTCTCAAAGAAGCGTCACAGACCGACCACTTCAATGTAGACCGAGAGGTGAGGCGGTCCCTACTACATAACCTTGTTAAATTAGAAAAATGTTTACTAAATAAAAATCAAGTTTCATGAATGGACTGAGGAATGAATCTGTAGCCAGTTGTCTTTATATCACTTTACCAATGGAACAGAAGGAAGTCTTGTCTGTTCTTTTTTGTTTTGTTTTTCACTGTTTTCCCCTTTGTCATGGGGACAGCTGACCTAGGTTGTTAAGAAAGAGGATGTGGTTATTCCTTTAAATGAACCGCATGACTGTGTACCATCAGAATCGGATACATACTGATTAATCCATGTGATTTACTGTGTAAATAAATTCAAGGAGAAGTGTGGAGTAATGTTTCTTACTTTTATCAAACCACAACACCACTCCTTTCCTGAAGAGGCTGCTGTTACTCATGTTTAGTGCCCTTGTACAAAATTATCATTTCATTTCAATCAAATCTTTTGGCTCACACTATAAAAGAGAGCACGTCGCATATTTAGTCTCCAGTAAGTTGTTCAATGGATATAAGATGTCCCACCTACACATCCTCTCCTCTCCTTAGGTTTTTTTGTTGTACATCAACCTTGTATCCAGTACAGTTAGTTACATTACAGTTGGTTCAAGTGGCTCTGATAAATGCAGTATTTAAGCGAGAGTGTCATAAAAACTTACAAAAAAAAAATACAGAAGGATTGAGCTTCTCTGCAGATATTTTTGTTGCCAAATAAAATGACTGAGGGCATTCATTTATTTTTATTTTATGGCTAAGAATATTCTGAATAAATCAGCTTTAGATAAGAACAGAGATATCATATGCTGCAAACTGTAGTTGACAGTTGATGTGTTCTCTGGGTGACATCAGTGAAGTCCTTATCTCTTTACTCTGTGCTACTGAATGTCTCAGTTTTTATATCCCTAAAATGTGGAACTCTATACTAGTGTGTAATTACTGAGCGTCACGTTTCTGATGGGTTTTTCTTTTTGCTCCAGCTGTCTTTGCCCGACAAAGTGCTGATTCCTGAGCGTTACGTAGAGTCAGAACCAGAGGAGGCTCTGAGTCCAGAGCAGGAGGCTGACAAGCAAAGGAAGGTTGACCGCATCAAAGCCCTCATAGCAAGAAACAGGTAAACAGACCTTCACGGTCTTTTCCCTCCGAGATCATCTTAGATCTGTGCTCGACAAATAGAAGCCTTGGGTTGTCCTCACAATATTTTGAATACATGTACAGGCTCTTACAGTATCTTGTGTGATTGCCATGTAATTTAAGCAAATGCATTTTGTTTTAATTTCTTCCCTTAATATTATAAATCAAGATAACTGGTATTACCATTCTATATATTAAATAAAGAAAATAATATAAAATAAATTAAAGTTGTACCATTATGTATGCATGTATATGTACCATTAAAGTGTTTTCTACCATATTTTAATATTATATTTTCAATTTTCTTTAGGGAAAAATATAACAAAAAGTTTTTTTGTTCTATGATTTAGCATCAGGAGTCCTAAAGTACCCCATGTGTAGTTACTACTACCGTAGTAGTTGATGTTAAACTACAGATGATGTATTCCTGTGCCCCTAGCATGCAGAATACACTACCCGGTGTGCCTCTGAGCCCTGAGGAGGAGACTGAGGAGGAGGTGAACGTCCAGGAGAAGGAGAAGATGATTAATATCTCCTACGAACTGGCAGCTGAGGCTTCCAAACGCAGCAAGCTGGTAGCAG